ATTGTTTACAGTATTTGATTTTACACTGATTTTTTACATTGTATTGTTTACAGTATTTGATTTTACACTGATTTTTTACATTGTATTGTTTACAGTATTTGATTTTACACTGATTTTTTACATTGTATTGTTTACAGTATTTGATTTTACACTGATTTTTTACATTGTATTGTTTACAGTATTTGATTTTACACTGATTTTTTACATTGTATTGTTTACAGTATTTGATTTTACACTGATTTTTTACATTGTATTGTTTACAGTATTTGATTTTACACTGATTTTTTACATTGTATTGTTTACAGTATTTGATTTTACACTGATTTTTTACATTGTATTGTTTACAGTATTTGATTTTACACTGATTTTTTACATTGTATTGTTTACAGTATTTGATTTTACACTGATTTTTTACATTGTATTGTTTACAGTATTTGATTTTACACTGATTTTTTACATTGTATTGTTTACAGTATTTGATTTTACACTGATTTTTTACATTGTATTGTTTACAGTATTTGATTTTACACTGATTTTTTACATTGTATTGTTTACAGTATTTGATTTTACACTGATTTTTTACATTGTATTGTTTACAGTATTTGATTTTACACTGATTTTTTACATTGTATTGTTTACAGTATTTGATTTTACACTGATTTTTTACATTGTATTGTTTACAGTATTTGATTTTACACTGATTTTTTACATTGTATTGTTTACAGTATTTGATTTTACACTGATTTTTTACATTGTATTGTTTACAGTATTTGATTTTACACTGATTTTTTACATTGTATTGTTTACAGTATTTGATTTTACACTGATTTTTTACATTGTATTGTTTACAGTATTTGATTTTACACTGATTTTTTACATTGTATTGTTTACAGTATTTGATTTTACACTGATTTTTTACATTGTATTGTTTACAGTATTTGATTTTACACTGATTTTTTACATTGTATTGTTTACAGTATTTGATTTTACACTGATTTTTTACATTGTATTGTTTACAGTATTTGATTTTACACTGATTTTTTACATTGTATTGTTTACAGTATTTGATTTTACACTGATTTTTTACATTGTATTGTTTACAGTATTTGATTTTACACTGATTTTTTACATTGTATTGTTTACAGTATTTGATTTTACACTGATTTTTTACATTGTATTGTTTACAGTATTTGATTTTACACTGATTTTTTACATTGTATTGTTTACAGTATTTGATTTTACACTGATTTTTTACATTGTATTGTTTACAGTATTTGATTTTACACTGATTTTTTACATTGTATTGTTTACAGTATTTGATTTTACACTGATTTTTTACATTGTATTGTTTACAGTATTTGATTTTACACTGATTTTTTACATTGTATTGTTTACAGTATTTGATTTTACACTGATTTTTTACATTGTATTGTTTACAGTATTTGATTTTACACTGATTTTTTACATTGTATTGTTTACAGTATTTGATTTTACACTGATTTTTTACATTGTATTGTTTACAGTATTTGATTTTACACTGATTTTTTACATTGTATTGTTTACAGTATTTGATTTTACACTGATTTTTTACATTGTATTGTTTACAGTATTTGATTTTACACTGATTTTTTACATTGTATTGTTTACAGTATTTGATTTTACACTGATTTTTTACATTGTATTGTTTACAGTATTTGATTTTACACTGATTTTTTACATTGTATTGTTTACAGTATTTGATTTTACACTGATTTTTTACATTGTATTGTTTACAGTATTTGATTTTACACTGATTTTTTACATTGTATTGTTTACAGTATTTGATTTTACACTGATTTTTTACATTGTATTGTTTACAGTATTTGATTTTACACTGATTTTTTACATTGTATTGTTTACAGTATTTGATTTTACACTGATTTTTTACATTGTATTGTTTACAGTATTTGATTTTACACTGATTTTTTACATTGTATTGTTTACAGTATTTGATTTTACACTGATTTTTTACATTGTATTGTTTACAGTATTTGATTTTATACTGATTTTTTACATTGTATTGTTTACAGTATTTGATTTTACACTGATTTTTTACATTGTATTGTTTACAGTATTTGATTTCATACTGATTTTTTACATTGTATTGTTTACAGTATTTGATTCACGTTGCTGTTTTCTTTAAGTGGCATTCTGTGTTTTTCGTTTATGAAGCTAATTTCCGAAAATTTATTAAAAGAAAAAAGATAATAATCATATAATTGAAATTTTATATAAAATCTCTTTAGTTGTAATTATGAAAAATAAAAATAATATTAAAGATTTTTAATGTTAGCAATAAAAATAAGAATATTGTTAATAAACATTACCAAAATGGTTATCTTTAGCAATCCAAATAAAATATTAACCTATTACTTTTACTTTCCTTAATTACAGAAACTCGTTTCTCTTTATCTTAATTTAGGAAGATGTTTAGGTAATCAAAGATCTTACTAATATTCAAGTTTTAATAGCAAAAATTTTTATTCATTTCTCATTCAATTCGGGTCAGCTATCTTCTCTTCTAATCATAATTTACATGAACCAAAGACCATTTATATAAATGATAAATAATATAGATCACAACAAGATCTTATAAGACATTTTCCGTGATTGATAAACTTTGTGAAAGCTTATAATTTTCTTTACCTAATCTCTTAATCAATCAGGAGTTGTTATTTTTCTTGCCAAAGTTAATTTATATGAAGACAATTCATGAACTCCTGAGTTAAGTACCACTCCTTTGTTTTTCTTGTTTTAAATGTATTTTTAAGGATGGAAGAAAATCAATTTTGTATAACGAATAGCAAAAAATTTATTAAAATGTTTAATTAAATTTATCTTATTTACGTTTAAATAAAAATTCGTTTTTAAAATAATATTTTGATGTAAAACAACTTTAAACATCTTAAATATAATGCAACGAATGATGCATAAAAATACTTTATAATTGTTAAATTATTCAATATAATGTGATGGAGCGTGTAATATACATTTATTCGTAAAAACTATTTACTTTTTTATGTAATTGTGAAAAAAATTATTCTGGTTAACTGATAACAAAGCCATGTGATCTTTTCCGTAACAATTCGTTTTGTTATTCCATCATTTATCGATATACGATAACTTACCGGTCAATAACCTTTTTTTTATGCATTTCTTCGCCTGTATTTTGTTACGTTACGTTTAATATTTGCTTTTTATTAGTATAAACATTGTCTTAAAATTATTTTATCCATTATTATAAAGTGTTTTCGTTCCCAGAAGGTCATAATTTATAAGCATTTTTTTTTTGTCATCTAGGCTCTACCAAGTTGGGAAGCAGCGAGAGCTGGAAGCATTTCATTCAAGATCCGTACTAATGAACCTAATGGAGTCTTAATGTATAACAGTGGTGCCACTGCCCAAGGGGATTTTTTCGCTTTCGAGTTACTCGACGGACACGTGTTCTTGTTACTTAATCTTGGATCCGGTGCGGTCAAGGCAAAAGCCACTACAAGAAGAGTCGATGATGGTCAATGGCATACTGTGTCATTAAGGAGAACAGGAAAGTCTGGTCGTGTAACCGTAGATGAATCTGCTGTAGACTTTATAACCCCAGGTAAGCGGTAAATTACCACTAAACTTCACTTATAAAACAATAAATTACGTAAGACCAAACTCGATCATCTTTAAAATAAATTATTTTAATACCTATTTACTTAAATATATATTTATTTTTATATCAATTATCTTTAATGCTATGCAAATAAAATTTACAGTTTTGTTAAGTTGTTCATCTTAAAATAATTAGATTTACTGATATATATATTTTTTAAAAAATTTGTAGTTAATAGATATGTAGCATCATTTGCAATTTGGGAATTTCCAATTTGAAAAAGTTAAAAACGAATTTTTTTTCATATATTCCAAAGGTAATAATAATATTGAATTCGTTCTTAAAAGTAAGAATATATGCAATTTAAGTTTCTTTTTATAAGAGCGGAACGAACTATTTATTTTTAAATAAAAAAAAAGACTAAATGATAGTGTAAAACATCATTTACGTAGTGGAATTTTCATGAAAGAGCTTCCAAGATCTGTCTCTTGTAATATATTAAGCTTTTTACAAATCGGTTAGTGTTTTATAAAGGAATGCAACTATTTTGACTTTAAAATTTGAATTTGTTCAGTCAAACTAATGTTTTCGTTCATGAGGAAAATGTTTCCTATTACAGGAGAAAAAAACTTTTTAAATTTGGTCATTGAACTTATCAGTCCAATAGAAATGAATTATATTAAAAAATATTTATATATTCGCATGATGTTTCTTTGTTGAATGTCATTTGCAGGAAACATGACATGACTGGCAAATACATTGGAATCTTCATAATTTTATAGAGAAGTAATTAGAGGACAGAATTACATTAAAACTAATTACCGAGATTTAAGATTATTTAATATCTACATTTTAAAGTGAAAAGTATATAACAGATTTATTATGTAAACACCAGTTTAATAGAAGATTTTAAAATGATGTTACTACTTTGTTAAATAAAATATAATTATTGTTTTTGTTCAAAGAGAACTAACATATAAATTAGTTATAATCTGATAAAATGCTTATGAATTTAATTTAATTCACTTCTCTTTATAAGATGTCTCTTAGTAAAGAAATTAACGGTGTGTGGATTTATTGATTTCTATTGGATTTATAAGTTTAGCGATTTTATTTCGAGACAAGGCCCGTAAGATAAGTATACATAAACAAACAAAGTAATAGTTTAATCAGATAAAATTTAAACTATTAAAATCGTAAGAAATTATATTAATTGTTGTATCAGTTTTCGTATCGTAATTATAAATTCTAAATTAAATATAATTCTAACAGTCGCGTGGAAATATAAAAAGATATTTTAAAAAGAATATTCTTGTGTAATATAAGTGGAAATTTATCTTGATTTTAAGGAAACTTAAATTTACAGATGCAACCACCTTAAGTTTTGACGGTGGACAATTTATGAAGATTACAGTACCAGAAGGTTCCTATACACAAGCCGAAGACATCAGTCTTCGCTTCAGAACAACACGACCCAGTGGTCTTTTGATAGCCACCACCTCCGACAAGACCTCGGGTCATTTGATAGTTGCTTTGGAATCTGGAAGAGCTAAGGTTGTATTGAATGTCGGAGATGGCAACAAGGTACGTTAACCTCATCTACAAACATTATTTTCATCATTACTATTAATTTAATTCTGTAATTAGTATACAAAACATAAAAGATTTTTCTAGCTTCCGCATAGCTTTTCAGTGAGTTTTCTTAAATATGTAATTGCGTAACTTGTTTAAATTACTCTTTAAAGTAATATTTAAAGTGCCTTTTATACATAGTATTGTTTAATTTCTAGGTAGTTTACATTGGACAGGGATTAAATGATGATCAATGGCATACACTTCAAATTACGAGAAGAGGACAAAGCATGGAAGCTCGTGTTGACTCTGAATCCATTAGTCGAGGTAATCATTGAAGGATGATTAATTTGTATATAAAACATTAAACATTTTAAAACTTTACTAAGTAAGAAGTCTATTTAGAAAATTTTTATTCATTTCACTTATAGTTATTTTATAGCTTACGCTTGCATAATTTTCAAAGCGTAAACTTTCGATATTTAATAAGGTTTTAAAACTAATATTAAATTTAATCAATAAAAAAAACAATGGAATGGTTTGATTATTTTATTAATTAAGTTTTATAAATTTTTCTGAACATCATTTTAATAAATAGTCGTTTTTCACATAAAGATGAACATAAAATATTTCTATGGTTTAAAATAACAATAAACATCTCTATTCTATGATATATTCTAAATAAAGGGTTTTAAGATGAAAATTAATAATCTGCGATGCTTGTCAACGTTAAATTCTCAATGAAATTATATTCTAGCAACTTAAAACGAAAACGTTTATTAAAGGGGCAGCTTTAATTTAAATAATTACACCACACGACATTCTTCAATTTGCTATGAAAACTTCGTCTCTACTTACAAATGTATTTTCTAAAATACGTAGCATTCAAACGAGAAAGAATCATTATTTAATCATTATATTTTTACAGGCAAAAAATCTACTGTTCCATTTTTCAATTTGAATTTTAAATTTGATTTTTTTATATTAAAAATATATATATCAAGCGTAATAAATTTAATTATCTTTACTAAACCTACATTTGGAACAGTTAACGTAGAGAATTTTCCTCAATTAGTTTTCCTATCCATTAGTTAAATGCTTAATTAGTTAAATAAGTAACTAACATCGCTATACCACTAATAAATATAGCAGAAGTTCCTGATCTGCCCTCATTTAAACAGTTACGTTCGCATAAGAAGCTGCTTCTCCCTCAATAAGTTTCTTAATTAAATCAAGGAAAATACTTCATTTATATTGTGCCATTTACGTTATATAATATAACAAAATCCCTATAATTTATACAGTAAATTAATATTTAGAACATATATTTTAAGAGTATATTTTAATTTTGCTAAAACAGAAAAATATTATAGATGTAAATTCACTTTAAAGTGTTTTCTAGAGGCTATATGTTAAACAAATTTCTACATAAATGATTTTTTTACGATTTTAAAATAATACTTTTTCTAGTTTAAATATTTTATTTTTTAAATAATTAATATTTTAAAAAATCGACAGAAACTTTAAATATCATTTTAATGAATTATTATAGGATTACCTCTTAAGAATAATATGAAATCATATAATTAAAACTAAAAGATTATAATAATCTTATTAAGTCGTTAACCAGATGGGAGGAGAATTATCCATTAAGAGTTTAAATTCAAATTGTTAGGAAGAAATCGTTTATTTCAAGTAAAATTTTCTCCAGTTTATGACATTATATTAGGCACCAAACAGAAAAAAAATAAACATATTCTGCTAATTGCACGCTTTTAAAAACAGCTGGAGCGAGAAAATCATTCCCATTATCGATAATAAAAATTTTATTTTCTTTGTAACTTATTATTATTTTATAAGTAAACACTAAATCTGGGATATTAAATCCAATGTTTTAATATATAATTTAATAAGGAGCATTTCCATTTTCGCATGTTACTAGTATTTCTGAATACTGTAATGCAAACATTGGATAAATGCAAATCTGCTTTTGATATAGACATACGTGTATCTAATTTTTAATAATCCAAATTTATCAATACATTTTCTATGAATAATCATTTCAACTTTAATAACATTTTCAGTTCAATATCATAAGAATTATAAATATTATATAAGAGATAATTTTACATATTTTGACCGTAACAAGTTAAAATGCTGTCATTAATGATATTACGAATGTTTTGTATATTTATTCACTTATTTATTTACAGGTGTTTTTGTTCTGCAACATACAAGAGACTCTTAGATATTGTTTTAATTATCTTATTTGACTTGTAAACGTAAAATGAATGCCTGAAACTAATTCAAATAAACGAAAAATAAATAAATATTTAATATTTTTTTTGAAACTTTCTGCATTGTAATAAAATTCCCTGGTTATTGACATAACTACAATATTAATAAATATTGTTATGTACTGTATAATATAAATGAATGCATAAGTAATATATGATTATATAATATCATTCGTGCATGATCCGCCTCTAAAAAAATTGTAAACACATAATAAATTTTCTATGAAAATAGTTAGCCCTAATATTTTTATAGTCTCAGTGACCGTAAAAATCAATTTAGATGAATTAATAAAGGTTGTTGAATAGAATGTATGGAAAAAAGTTAAAATCCAAGTTGAATTTTTTACATTAGAAAGACATTAATAATATTTAGAGTCGTTTTATATATATGTTTAGTCCATAAAACTATAATACTTGTAAGAAACTCTTTACGAGCTTTATGGTTACTGCGGTTGAACAGTAACGATACTGTAAAAGCCACAATTTCTGTAATAAAGCCACCAAAGAACTAAAGTAAAAATTAAGTTTAATAATTAAAATCATCGAGCGAAAAGAAAAAAATATTTTGAAGAAATTGATTTAATTACTTTTTATTAAATTTATGTAAATACTCCATTCGTCTTTTCATTAAAATGTGTATCTTGCAAAAGAGGAAGAAGATAAATATCGATATCATCATCATCTCAACCGAAAAATTTTACTCGATAAGCCAAGAGATAAACTTCCTTTCTGACCAAGTCACGTGATTTTCTACTTGACCTTACAAATATCTAAGGGTCATCTGGGACTGCAAATCACGCTCTGGCGAATTGTACGTTAATTACGTGGCCCTAATTAGGACTAAGTCATTATTACGGGTGTCAGTAGAAATGATGGTAATCTGTAAAGATGCAGATATGAAGTACGACAGAAGCATTCGAGGCATTCTCATCAAAATTATCGTTTGTTTAAAAGCTGAATTAACGGATAGAGAGAGAGAGAGAATCTTGAAAATTAAAATCTCTAGTGACTTGGAATAAATTTTGTTGTAAATTTAAATGCTATTTAAACTTATAAAACTTTTATAATACGTATCAAAGATGTGTTTAATTTGACTTCTTAATTAATTTTAATATTTTTATAAATGGTAATGCGATTTTAACCGAGTTATACGCTGAGCCAAGTAAATATAATTATCAGAACAAGGATAAATATTATGTAAAATATGGGTTTTGCTCGAGTTTCCTGGATGTTTAATGAATTTATGTTTTGTGAAAAATTTCTAAATGGAGAAAGTTGGAAAATATATTCATAGTTTTAAAAATAAGCTTAATTTAGTTTTATAACTGCTTTAAAGAATTTATAAACGTTACTTTTTTAGGTTTTTCTTTTTTCATTTTTATTCTTTTTTTGCAGAGCTTACTGGACAAAAAATTACTTTGGATTTCCACTCCATGCACATTGGTGCTGTAGTTCCAGATAAAAGTGCCAATACAATTAGTACGAACTTTGTTAAAGATATACCCAATTTCGTTGGTCACATGCAGCATTTCATTTTTAACGGAAATCATTTTTTCGACATGGCACGAAATGGGCAAATGACAAATTCTCAGGTAGGTTAAATATCTTTCATGTTCGAATGCATCAAATTCAATAAAAATGCAAATATTTCTTATTCGTCTTTCAGGTGACGGCAAAATTTGGCAAGAAAGATCACATTGTTCACCATCCGGTGACTTTTAAATCAAAATACACTTTTATAGGATTACCTCAACTCAAAGCTTACGCTTCGATGAATCTTTACTTCCAATTCAAAACTCTAGAACCCGGTGGGCTTTTGCTCTATAACGGTGGCAAGGGTCAAGATTTTTTAGCCATCGAGCTCGTCGATGGTCATCTTCATTATATATTCAATCTGGGAGACGGACCTCGTAGAGTTAGGTCCAACACCAGAAACACTTTGAACGATAATCACTGGCACGCTGTTACGATTGGTCGACCATTACTGAGGCAGCACACGTTAATGGTGGACGACATGATTGCAACTGTGACAAGTGCCGGTTCAAATATCCATTTGGATCTCGATGGACTCTTGTATCTAGGGGGAGTCCGGCGATCTATGTACACCTCGTTGCCTAAATTAATACAATCAAAACACGGTTTCGAAGGCTGCTTGGCATCTTTGGATTTAAACGGAGACATGTTGGATCTAAGTAAAGATGCTCTAATACCTAGCACATTAGTTTCGATGGGATGCGCCGGTGAGTACGATTTATTTTAATCGACATAAATTGTTAGCAAACCGATTAAACTGTTAATTATGATTAATTAAGGAATTATAAACACGTAGCGCCTCGAATTTAAATTATATTATTTCTGGTCACGGTATCACTCCAAGCATTGTATCTTAAGTCGCATTTACTCCGGGCTACAACATAACAGAGTCGAATCGAATAATTTCTGCGCTCGAGGCAAAGTTTAAAGGTTGTGCTCTTCACAATTTACTTCATTCTTGTGGGACTTATAAGTTACAACATCATTGATTAGAGTAAGACTGTAGCATCCGGAAAAAATAGAAGAAAGGACTTTTATTTACTGAGTTTTTCCTTATCTAGAAATTGCATATTTTACTGTATGTTTCATATTGGAGAAAAACGAAAAAGCCTTTCAAACTTTGTAAATGTATTTCTATGTCAGTAATCAACAGATTGAAATTACGCATTGAATGGCATATAACGAGGTTCAGGAAGAAAACAGAAAATGCAATTATACTAAAAATTACGCATATATAGGAAATTTAAAATTGTTACAGCATGTGTTTTTCATTAAATATCAGCATTTCTATTTTTTTGGATATTTACCTCTGTACCCATTTTTCAATTATATTTGCCATTTCACGATTAAGATTGGCCATGAAAGATAATTTTCGTAAACTAATTAAAAAATGCCTTTTGTGTTGGTATTTGTGCCCTTGTCAGCTTTGTGCTGGAGGCAAATACCTCACTGGCTTTACCGTCGATCCGGGTCTACGACATAATACGGACGAAAATAACGATAGTAATTGGAGGAGCCTAAGGTGAGTCTTCCGTCATACGTAAACTAACGACACATTTGAGACATTTTAAAGGAGAATCATTGCAGTCGGCCAGGATGCAATGTAATTAAAGTTTGTTGTCAGTCCTTCATTACGTCTGAACGTAAATCAAACAACAAACCTTTCGTGACTCCCCGAGGAATATATTCGGTAATTATTGGATTTTCGTAGTTGACATAATGAAGTCTGTCTTCGTTTCTGCAGTCAATGAAAACGTCTTTATATATTTTATAAAGAGGTGACTCTCTTTTAAATGTCACCGACCGTTAAAACGAGTGAAACATCCTATTAAGTAGAAGATAAATAGTATAAAGTATAAAGCATCAACTAACTCTATTGGTATTATCATTTTTATGTGCCAGATAAAATTGTTTCTATCAATTTATATCTTCTGTAAACAACGAATTTATATCTTCTGTAAACTTTTTCCATTTAAAAATAATTCAAACCGAAGAGATAGATTCATTTCGAATTTTCCACAGACCAACAACTGACATCTCAATTGAATGGTTTCCTTAAAAATATTCAGTTTATCGTAAGATCTTCGTAAATTAGCAAACTGAAAATGCATACAAAAACCGAATTAATTACCAAAGTGAGAATTGTAAAGCAAAAATTACTTGTGAGTTACGATAAAAATATTTTCCATTGCTTAGTTTGATTAATATTTTATACAAGTGTATACTGTTCGCCTGTACATCGAGGAAAATCCCTCCAGGAATCCATGTTAAATTCACAAAATTGTAAAAACTAGAAAGAGAAAATTAGATTCTTAATAACTGTCAGCTCGTAAAACGCTAATATTTAGTTGTTAGTCATAAAAGATCGACTAACGTAAATGCAGTTAATAACATTTCGTGTTTATAATTGCTAACGATCGTTCGCAAATCAAATGCAGACTTGCTAATGTTAATTTTTAAGATTAAACAAAACTGTTTAGATTTTAAAATGTTTATTGGTTTTCTTTCTTTTTTTTCCTTGTTTTTTAATCGGTTGTTGCATGCGTAATGTAAACTTGTACTTAACCTGAAGTTTAAAGATATAAATGTCGTGTTCTTCTTAATATTTTTAAGGATATGGGAGTTGATTTTTCGCAAAAATACTTTTTATTTTCAGGTCCTGTTACAAAATGTAGCAATACTGCTTGTGCTAATAGAGGTATTTGTGTGCAAATGTGGAATAGTTATACCTGCGATTGTGATATGACTTCTTTTACTGGACCAACGTGTTCTGATGGTAATTTTTCTTTCTTTTTTTTTGTGATGATTTTTGTGTTTCTGCTATTTGTTATTACAGAAAGTTTTGATAAAACTAAAATGTTAGAATGTCGACTAAATAAGACTATTTTGTGAATAAAAATAAATTTATACAACCTACACACATTTAAAATATTTTTTTGTACATCAAAAGTAACATATATATTTAAACATGGAGTAAAGCATAACGTAAAATTTATATATATATTTATGAAAATAACATATTTTAAATATTTTATTACAAATTTTAAACTTTTCTAATAGATAAAAATATATTATTATTATTATTTTAAATTTAAGATATAAAATAAAACAACCATTTTAATTTTAAAAATCAGGAATTTTTATCTCAAAGAAAAGTGCTGACATGATTTTCTCTGGTTCTGTTGTTAAATTTAATTTACAAAGAAAAAAATTACCATTCCATAAAAAAAAAACTAATATTAAAATTTATATACACATATTGGCGATATTTAATTGAGTTTATATTAACTCTTAATAAAATTATTTTGCTTTTACATTAATTTATCTTCACAAATTCTTTTATCGGTTCGATTAATGTCAAATTATTTATAAATAATTTATTAATATCTAGATATTGACGAAAAAATATTAAAGTTTTGATTTCGTCTAAATTACTGATTTAATGAAATAATTAGATAGAAAGTTTTCTCGGTCGATAACACGAAAGTTGAAAATGGAATAATTCTAAAATTATGTTTTCTTCGCACGTTTCGTCCGGAAATTATAAATTTTTCTATTTTCTAGCAAATTCCTTGATTAATAAATTTTTTATACTCGAATATTCTTTTTTTTTCTTTAAAAAGCTGTATGTTTAATGATTAATGAGCTCGATCACTTCGTAAATGACACATAAATTAACGTTGATGAACATAGTTATAAAGTTGTCACTTATAAGGTTTACTAAGTAATTTAAAGTAATTCTAGCTTAACTTGTGATACAAAACCTTTAATTTAAATTGTCCATTATATAGCAGAATGTCATCGTTAGCTTAATTCCGATTATCACCTATGTAGAGCATTAAATATTATACTAAAAGCGGGATAATGTATTAATGTTGATTACTAATTAAATATTGATAATTACGGACTTGTAAGCTGAATTTTTATCATCGAAGTTTTTCTTTCCCACTTCTAGAGAGCATCGCTTACAGATTTGATCCCGGTGGTGGCTTAATTACTTTCACTTACCCCAAAGATAAGAGACCAGACACTAAAAGCGATTTACTAGCGCTGGGCATCATCACCATGACAGTCAATGCCGTATTGATGAGGATCGATAGTGGAAGCAGCAATGATTATATGGAGTTAGAAGTCGTAAGAATCTTTCTAAATATTTTAATTATCGCTTCCAACGTTTATTCTAATCACAGTTTTCCTAACAGGTCGACGGTAACGTCTTCATGGTCTATAATATGGGCACCGAAGATCATCCGATTGGAGAACTCAGCGTTAACGTTAATGATGGACAGTATCACGTGATTAGATTTACCAGATCAGGACCCAACTCGACCATCCAAGTCGATGATCATAACGTTAGAATTAAACATCCGAAAGGTAAATTATATTCAATTGATTGATTCGAACTATTTTTTAATATCAAAGAGATAGAAATCCTGAAAATCTAAATATAAATTAATAACGTTATTTTGGATTACGTCCTTCCTTCCCTCATAAAAATGAATGGTCGTATCTTGTATGCATTACCTATGATTAAACGGCAATAATGAAACTATTATATAACGTTATGAATAGCACAATAGCTTAGATGAATTACATTATATAGATGTACACATTGTTAGCAGTATTCTCGAACAATATTGGCTAGTAAATCTCCAAGCATCTGCTATATTCATTGAAGAGGCTCATCCGCTGCATCCAAGATATATATAGAAAGCAACTGTATAGATTCGAAAGTGTGCTGCTTAAATAATGTACAGTACATATTGTTCATTATTCTCGTAATTATGTTTTAATTTAATAATAATAATAATTGCCTTTTATTTTATACCGTTTTTGTTTTATTTTTGTAACGTTAAATAGAATCAATTCGATATTTTGATGAGGAAAAATGTATTTTATTCTTTGGATTCTGGTATATTCAGAATTCTAGACATCATCTCCAATATCAACTGGGAACATAACATTCTATACAACTGTATAAAAGAAGCGAACTATATATAGAGATAACAATAAAGAAGTTTTTTTTTCATGGAGCGGCTCGATTTATTGACGGTCATCTGTTTTATATTCTTTTGATGTACTTTTGTGTTTTTAAATTTCTTAAATTATAAAAATAGAATAAAAAAATCCCTGTCGATTTTAGGAAGACAACTGACCATATTCAATAGTCATTCCAAAATCCAAGTTGGGGGCAAGAAGAATGGTCTCAAAGATAAAATAGAACGACCATTCCAAGGAGTGATTGCTGGATTGGTTTTCAATGGACTACGCATTTTAGATATGGCTGCTGAAAACGACCCTAGTGTAACTGTCGTAGGTGATGTAGAATTACTTGTATCACTTCCTCACGATTCTCATCAATCTAGTTTAGCACCAACGCCTCAAATGCAACAGGTTTGTCATTCGTGAATTTTACTTATTTTTAAAGACTTAAATTTTATTATTAATTATAACAGATTATGTCCTTTATAGCCTAAAGGCGATTCTATGTTAGAAGAAGAAGATCCTGTTTCTTCGGGAGGAGGCTCCGGATGTTGGGATGATGAAGATCGATGCAATTTCAATGAAGGTGGTTCTGGTCGGTTCTCTTGATGTTAGATATAAATTTCACATCATATTTTGCTTCGCAAGCAAAATATTTTAACAGAGAAAGAAATGACTATAATAAATTAGGAGTCTGTTTTTCTTAGCTGGATCAAATCTATATTAAATTGAATTACAAGAGAGTGCGTATATCCGGAAGTTGGGAAAGTGAATATTGCATTCTAGGTTTATGTGTAAACACACAGTTGTTAATAATGGTTGCTAAAATTAGCTGAAGAGTCTCTCAATAGGACAGCTTTACATATCAAATTTCCTTAAGTTTATAAATAATGCACGAGCCAAATGTATTAATTGAAGCTCAAATTAAAGCATTTTTATTATTTGTAAAATTGAGAAGTTTAAAACAAAAAGCAAATTCAACAAAAATTTAAATCATGATTTAAAAATGAAATTAAAAAGAATTATTATCCAAATTCATTAAATTACAGATAGAAAAATGCTTTTTAGAAAATATTTTACTATTAAAATTACTATTATTATTATTCATTCGTTATAATATTTCATGTTCCTTCCCTTTGTAGGATTTTATCATCTGCCAACTGTTTATCACAAAATTTTGATCTGTAAAAAATTCTAAAAGAATTTACACGTGAAAATTATTTATAGTTTCTAACTATCAAAACAACGAAAACCATTAAATGAAGTATTGAACAATCAGTGATAATAACATTAAATTATTGTCCAGTAACGCTCATTTGCTATGTTATAAATATTAAATTAATACCGGTAGTTTGTCCAGGCTTTCACGCCTGAGTTATTAGCGTTTTCTTCACGTGTCTAACACCCTAACTAGCGGCCACTTTCCCATAGCAATTCCTCCCGAGAGGCACCCTCTTGGCAAATAGCCCTCTTGTTGCATTGCCTTATTCGACCAAACAAACATTAAATATTAAAATGTTTATATTTATTATTTTAATATTTATTGCTAAAATTTATAAATATATAAATTTTAATATATATAGTGAGTGGCGCCTTTAAAACTATACCCAAACGCGCTGATTAGTTAATGCAGAGTACCAAGATCATATGGCCATCGAGTTCTCCTGACCTGAGTACATGTGACTTGTTGGGATGCCTAAAAGGATCGGTATACAAAATAATCCCAGAACGAAAAAAACTGTAAGTAAAGATTTAAAAATGCACTACGAACAATTACACCAGATACACTTCAATGGGTTTCCATATTGACGAGATACGAAAGATACATCGAACGGGATTAAGGCCACTTCCAACACTTATTGTAGTGAGCTATTTTATCTGTCTTTTGGCTTACATTAAATTATAATTTTACTAACTTATCAACCACGCTTGCATTTCTTTCAAGTATACTTTTAGATGTGCCATCCTGTATGTGTAAATTAATATACATATATATATATATATATTAAGTCAGATTAATCTACTTGATCAATTAGAATACTTTATTTTATTCAGTTTACATTTATTTATCTATTAATTTTCTGACTAATACAAAATTTTTTGACTAATAATTTAAAAATTTAAATGTTAATCTTAAATTTAATTATTTTAATATTTATTTTAAAGTTAAACGAATTATTCTATATTCTTTCCTCTAAATAAATCAAAATATTTTATAATAAATTTTTGTATCTTTTTTCATTATATTATATTAGTTAAACTCCTAAGAGTATAAAATAATTTAGAAATGTTCCTTAAAGTTCAGTATAAGGGAATTTTTCTAAAGCATTTTTTAAGTTTTTTTTTTCTTGCAGAAAATGTTGTATAAATTTTTAAAAAAGCATTTTACTCCACAGATGTAATTATTTGCATTCGATTTCATTGCAGGTGACGACTTAATCACTCCCGTCCATATCTTGCCCACGGGTAGTCCAACCAGTCTGGTAACGGATTCCGAAACCAATCTGGAAGATAAACTTTGCGACGACGAAGAAGAATTCTGTCCAGAAGGTTCTGGGTCGGGCGAAGTAGTAAATCCAATACCGACAGACGATTTAGTCGAGATAATAGACGCATCAAAACCACTTTATCCTACAGACGACACTTCGGAACAGGATCTGTCTTCCGTCATTAGACCTCAAGTACCTCACCAACCATCACCGTCAACCGTCCAAACAACACGATCTTCAAAAATTGAAGTTTACGGAGTACCCATCCCTCAAAATCCGGGAACGGGTCAGGAAGTTCATCGACCAAATCATAAAAGTAAAAGTTCGGCCGATAGTACGGCTCTGGTGATAGGTATCATAGCGGGTGTTCTTATTGGCATTGTTCTAGTTGCACTAATCGTTTATCGAATTAGAAATCGATCGGAAGGTTCTTACAAAATCGACGAAAGCAAGAACTATCAATTTGCAGCCGTTTCGGCTAGTCCATCCTTATTAAATGGACAGCAAGCACACATGAATGGTACGGTCAAAACTGGAGAGAAGGCCACAAGGAATCCAAATATTACTAAAGATGGTAAAGATCTTAAAGAGTGGTATGTGTGAGTGAATTCTTTATTTTGCGTGATATACCTCGCGAACGTTATATATATATCTCAAGGTACTGCCAGACGTAATTAACGATCGGCCATTTTTAAGAATCGATCACTGTTAGTGATCGCCATTGAGTTGTATGGCGATCATTTATCACTTTTACCTTAACAGGTAGAAAAATGCCAATCCAAAGGATTAATCGTCAAACTGCGATGAATTGTTCGCCGCTTTTTTCTTTTTTTCTTAAAAAAAAGCAAAGCAAAATAAAAAAAAGTTGTTTTTTGATCATTTTTAGATGTGACGCAAAAACCCAAATGTTGCAGAGCATACATCATTCGCTGCTGCTGCAATTTCACAATATTGAGGGGGAAAATATTATATAGATTAATGAAAAATTTATTTGTAATTATTATCATTTTTTCAACAGAACTGACTGTTTTTGTGAGGTAAACTAATATATTGTGTCGATTGAAAATTTATGAAGATCGATTCATCCTGAACAGGTTCTTATCCGTTTTATATATCACATATTTGTTTACGAAAACACCCGAAATCCAATTTTATGATCAATAATAGTGCATCACCATTGCAATATTTAGATCAGATTTTACACCCAGTTTATGGCCTAACCTTAGCTTATGCAACGTAAACGTACTTTAGAAACGTGTGGCGCCATCTGTCTTCTAATTTTTAAAGTAGTCGAGTATTGATGGAAAAGTTCTGAGTTCGAATCGCAAAGAAAAGAAGGAAAAAATTAAAAAAAATTATAAATAAATGTAAAGCTGTAGGAATTAAATATTTTTGAAGATAACTACGAACGAATCACGTGATATCAATGAGAAGAAAGCCACGCATCCTCCCGACTTAATTTTTCGCGAATATCATCATCGGCCCTGTTTATACATTATGATTGCTCTACTGTACTTTATCAATCATTGTCGGGATCCTGGCAATAAAATGGTTAGGAAAATTGTGCAAATAAAACAATGAGAAAGATGTCTTTGCCTCTCTTTTTATCATTTTTATAATATAATACCAAGAAATCAATAATTAAGTTTACGCATCGAATATATTCTAAAAATATCATTTAACTAGTAAACAGCTAAATATAATTGGTTTTAAATATTTTCAGAATTTATAAATATCATTATTACTTGTCTTTTGTGAGCAAACAGGTTATTTTCGGATATAACATCATTCTCCTTTTTCTTTTTCCTTAAAAGTTATATTTAAAAAAATTACTTTTAAAGAAAACTTTATTAAATTTTTAAATTTTCCATTAAATTACACTGGAATATCTTTTTAAGTTATATATAAACATTTTTAGATTATTAAAAAAAGCTTTTAATATGAAAAAATGAATTTAATTATTAATGCTTGCTTTTTATTTCTATATAAGTTATATAGAAAACAGATTAAATAATGATTGAAATTTATTACTAGGGTCATTCTAATGCTTCGTTCATCCATAATCTGATGTAAGAGTAGAAAAGTAATATTATTGATAGTTTCTTATCTACAGAGATAATTTTTTTTTACTCATTTGACCTTTTACTTCGTTTTAAGTCCGCATACATACTCAAATATTGGATCTATTGAATAATTATTAATTCTTTTGACGCTTAAGCTTCAATAATATTAAAAATAAAATAGACATTTCTGTGTAATAATTCAATGCGACTAAATTTTTTTCAAGCCTGCATAACATATAAGCTGTTTACGCCCAGTAATAGCTTATCTTTCATAACGTTATATTGATTTATCTAAGTATTATATAGGGTTATAAGTATGTTTATTAAAACATAATGGTTGTTTAATATAGAGGAAAAAAATACATTATTCTTATTTACAGACCTGTAATCATGTTGTGGATGTTCCAAATTGATATTGCACGAAATTGTAAATTACTGAAATTGCGTAGAATTATTGTACAGTTAATTATTTACAATCTTCACAAATTAATGACGAGAAAACAAATTTCGTTCTCATTATTTAAATGTTTCTGTTATAAACGATGTAAACACATTTTATACAAATACGATTCATTTGTCTTCGATAGCGGTAAATTTTTTGTCTAAAAGATATTATTTTAATAACTCCATTAATTTGCTATGAGACAATAAAGGATGTTAAAACTGTCAACCGATGGTTACAGAAGTAACTAGCAATTTAGATTAAAAATTAGTTTTGACTATAACCTCTTTAGATGCGTTTAACACTGAATCTTTGTTGTGTATAAAACACAATTTAACCATTAAAGATTTACTAAGTATTAAATTCACAAGAGTTTTGGTAAATGTTTTACAGTGAAAATGTTATCAATACGTATCAGAATTTTCAATAAAAAAAAAACATGTTTTCAGACAAAAATATATGTTTACAAAAATCTTCAATAAATGGAAATGCATTGTCCTAGACGGTGTTCGATATGTTCAAGTTTTAAGTAAAAAAAGTAATCAAAAAATATATAAAAAGTTGCTTTAATCAACTTGTTTATACCCATTTAATCAACTTTTATTTAACAGAGGCGTGCGTACAATTATTTGAGACTGCTTAACGTCTAATAAAAAAAACATTCAAACTTCAATTTAGATGAAAATTTGTACATTTTTCTTGTAGCTAATATATTTTTCGTATAATTTAAATTTATTTGTAACTTTGCTACATAGATTAAATTTTGTTTGTATCACATATAAGATTATCTACTGCATAGTTTATGCTTGCTTTCATTTAAAATTTTTGAAAATAGAATTATTTTTCTTAAAAACTAAACACTTTAATAAAGAATACAATTTGAATAATTTATAATGGAAATAATTCTGTATTATTGCAATTAATGACGAATTTGCACGATTTATTTTTATCTTGAATTAGAGTGACAAAACTGGTGACAAATTTCAGCTACTTTCGAAGTTTGTAAAATTCGAAATTATAACTCAAAAAGTTTCAATTTTAATGGATTAAAAGACAAAAAAAATTATGAAAATTACTTTTTTTGGTTTTGAAATTCGAGTTAAAACGACGAAAGAATATAATCGAATATTGTTGTATTGATGTTTACTTACAAAGAAACCATAGTGAAATAGAAATGATTCTCCTCGAATTATACAATTATGTGAAGTCATTTTTTATTTCGCTCTTCACAAAGAATTTTGATTTTATTAATATTACTTATATATTATACATATACATACGAATATCTTTCTGTAAATTTTATAATCTTTTCAGTGACTATTCAAATAAAATTATATACCAGAAATGTAATTTAGTAAAAAATCTTAAATTTTAGACGAAGATATATTTTTAAGCACGAGAATAAGAATTATATTCAGCATTGATCACGATAATATAGAATATAATATAATCTATCGAATAAGATTTCATTGAAATCCAGAACTGTCTCGTTGTTGATAGTATCAACGAGACAGTACTGGAATCACTCCGATACTCCAAGCAACGAATATAAAAATTGCAGCGAAGAAAGGATTGATTGATTTCAGTACATCAAAGGATTCTTATGTCTACTCCTCAAAAGCACAAAAAAGGAATTTTTTTCTTTTTTCAGACGAAGTTAAATAAACTAGTTCGATATAGTTATTGAAAACGGATGTATCAAACTACAGCAAGTCCTCACTTACATTTCTTGGAAACTGCAACGTTAAGTGAAAACCACATAAAATAAAACCAATTTTACTGTAGGCTAAATAATATAAACAAAATATAATTCGGTTAATATTATTCTAAACGGATCGTGTTTGCAACCTCCAGCATTTATATTCCATCTTATAAAGTCAATTTTACTGTTTACAAAGAAAATTCAACGACAATAATTGTCACTTGTATCTTTCCTCGACCACGTTATAACGAAACGGCGTTAAGTGAGGACTTGCTGTATTTTAAAAACAAACGAAGAAAACATAAATAGACTAACTTGAACAAAACTTTGTTCTTGGATAGCAGGTGTATCAAACTATTTTGTTCAAATTTGTCTGTTCTTGTTTTCATTTAATTTGCTAAAATTTTTTCCAAAGATTCAAAGTTTAGACCTATTGGTAAATTATCTGACAACAGATAACATATCATATCGACTAAATCGTTTTGTTTCGTGAAAATATATAATCTTTTTCGTAATTCTAGCATTTATTTTGTTTCTTGCGTATCAATCTTCTGTCATCGTTCTTTTCATATTCGCATCATCTTGCTATCATATTTTCTTTTGAGTTTTCTCTGTCATGGTAACGAAGAAAATATTTAATTAGCTGAACAGATTTCATTTAAATCGAATCAGTAGCAAAATAATAAAATCTGATATATATTGTTTAAATATACAACTGAGAAGTATAGTACCTCTTATCACCAATATTAATCATTTCTACAATAAATTCATTGAAAATCTAAATGTTTTAAGTACATGACTGAAAATCTTACATATTTTGATTAAATTATGGTCGTAATATCAAATTAATTAGTAAAATTTTGGGCGTGTTCAATATCGTAAAGTTTTATACGCTTCCGAAACATGAAAAATTCAATTTACGTAACTTCAGAAAAAATAAAGTGCATTCGTACTGTTAGAATAATTTACTGTACACTATAAGTCAATTTAATGTCATTTTATGCTTTCTCATTACAAAAAACACAGAAATTATCTGCATATAAAGATGTCATAAAAGTCTCTGCCTGTTTCCAGAAAATAATCACCTTAAATTTCTAAACTTCGACCGCTTTTACCCACGAATATCTAAATAACTTTATAAAATATTATAAGAATTACGTAAAAAAAATAAAACATATAGTAGAATATAATAGATGATTAAATGGAAAAACTTATGGAAACAGTAAAAAGAATATGACGAATAAAATTTATATCCGAACAGTTTTGAGTGACCAACATAAAGAAAAATAGAAGTTTATAATAATAGATTGAACTTCAAAAATATAAAGTTTCAAAATTTGATAGAGCTTACATTTAACTTTTCAAAAACAAATTAAATGACGTTTCAAAAATTAAATCCTGTTTGTGAGCTAGATTATATATGCACAAATATATATATAATAGGGACTAATTAATTTTAAAAAATATATTTAATAGGGACTAATTAATTTTGATTGAAGAAAGTATAAATATTTTATAAATTATAATTTGTTTTTCTTACATGTTTAAATAAAAGTTTTTTGTGTTGAGAATTTACCATAATTCTCGGGATTCCATTTAATATCGGTCTTGTCTTTTTTATACTGATCGATTAAGTATTCTCACAATGTCAGTTGTGAATTCCATTAAACATACTTTTCTTTCTTTTTCTTTCTTGGAACATTTTTCCATTTAATCATTTTTTTCCTGGTTATCTATTTGTTAAGTCATGAACAAGAAAACTTTGCAAAAAGTGTACTCTAAAAGCTTAATTCGTATGCAATTTATATGTCTAAAAATGGATATTTAATAGAAGAACTTTCAAAAATCTAACAAAATATGAAAATAAAATATCAGTTCTTTATAATATATTCCAATATAATTAAATCATATTTTATTTCAATTAAAGAAGATGAGGTTGTCTTGCTCTATTTTGATGATCACACGACACTGTCAAAAATATATACATTTATTTCGTTAAATTATTTTATTTTATTCAAGAGCAGAATTCAAGAAAACGACACCAGAAAATGATATATTTGGAGCAAAAGATTATTTATTTTAGTACAAATATTAAGATAGATAGCCTATCACGTAATCGTATACAATCTCTTCACTCCATTCAAGTCAATATTTATTTCAGTTTTTTTTTGTTGTTGTTTTTTATTTGAATAAGTGCTATATAGAGATGCAAATATTTTTTTCCAATAAAATATATTAATTAATATATAT